TTTTTTTTTGTTGAAACCAATATTTAATGACCAAAAATTTTGACAAATTAATTAATTTTCCCAATAATTTAATTTTTCTAATTTTGTTTTAATTACTAAAATTTTACAAATTAATTAATTTCTTTCTTAATTTTCCCAGTAATTTTTGTTTTAATTATTAAATTCTTTAATGAAATAATTTGCGCATTTGCTGCATGTAAAGTATCGTTGTAACAATATTGTTCATTAATTAATTCGTTTATTCCATGCCGTAATTGATTACATTTTAATTTTTTAATTATTATATAATTATGCATATCAACAATGAATGCAATATATACATTGTAATTGATTCTATTTGAAATTATTTTACATAGATCGTTAATTTTTTCTGTTTTTATTTTTTTTCTTTTTTTTTTTTCAGGAAAGCAAACATTTTACCAAATATTATACTTTAAAAGATGGAGAAAAAAAATGAATGATTTATTGAAAAAAAGAAGAAAGCGTTGTAAATTATAATAATTATTTGAATTATTTTTGTTTTGATAAAATTTTTTTTAAAAAAAAAAAAAAAAGAGACAGAAATATTTCGTTTTCTTTCGTTCATCAAAATAAAATTATTAATTTTTGAGAATTACAAAAGGAAATTTTTCAAAAAACTATCATAATTTCATTCAAACTTTTTTATTGCAACAGAATTTAACGAAAATTAGAATTTTTTACATTAAATTTTTTTTTTCACAATAAACGAAAATTTTTATTATTATTTTCTTGTCTTTTTTTTTTTTCAATCAACTACAAAAAACAAAAAAAAAAAAGAAACGGACAACAAAATTACAATCTCTTTGAAATAAAAAAAACAAATGAAATTACAGAAGAAATTGATATCAGATAATTTTGATAAATGATAATTGCTTATCAGAAAGGATGCAAATTTTGTGATGAAAATTGGAATGCATAATAAAACTAGTGAATTATGACATTTTCTTCCGTTTTTTTTTTCAGGAAAAGCAGGAAAAGACGAGAAAAATTAATATGGAAAATCTTCATAAAAGTTGTACTTTCCCAATATGTGATAAAAAGCATGCATCATGCATGTAATGCATGCATTCATCTGATGCATGCTTTTTACGTGTTAAAAAAGCGCCTAAAATAGATGAAAAATGCAAATAGATTTGAAATATTTAGAAAGTAAAAACATATGAAACTTTGATCAAAATTTTTTTTTTCTTGTCATTTCTTTGGTTACTTGATGATAATAAATATAAAATGCAAAAATGCAAAAATTTTATAAACATTTTTTTGTGGTTTTTTTTTTTAGTCCCAAAATTTGTTTGCTAAAATTATATTTAAGATAAATTACAATAACATGCAAAAAATATTGAAATTAAAAATTATTTTTTTGAAATTCTTTCTTTTATTTTCTTAGGATGCAGTAGTAATCCAACATTAATTAGTGATATAACTTATCAGTGTTAAAATTATAATAAAAATGAATGGAAGAAGAATAAAGTTAAGAAAAAATTGGAATTTAATTTAAATATCGTAAATGAATTAATTGAATAAATAAATTGCGCTGAAAAGGAAAAGTAAAATGAAGGATGATAATGGAAAAAATTATTAAAGATAATATGATAATGATAATTTTACATTAAAATATAATGAAGGCAATCTTATTAGCATTGGACAAATTTCCGGTTAAAATATCCTTTTGCTGTTGCAAATATTATGACGAATTATTAAATTACTAAGCTTAATATTGAAATTTAACTACAATTAATTAATATCAGTTAAATAAATATTAATTTAACTAATTAAAGCGGAAGAGCAAATAATAAACCCAAATCAGACTGCAAAGATGATTGAAATATTACAGAATCATTCAATTACATGATAATAGAGAAGTTGATAAAATTTAAATATTTCAATTCTCGATTGACATGTCATGGATGCAAGTGCTAAAGGCTTTTTTGCTTGATCAAATAAACTTACCTATCAAATCAAATCTTCTTTTATTGATTGTATCAATTGGCGAATAATCAAAAAACAATACAGTAATTTGACAAAATGATTGGTTCTATTTGTTTGTTTGTTTTTTTTTTTAGATTTAAAAACTTAAAAAAGGAATGTTTTTTTTTAAATTAATTTTTCAAAATGTTTCTTATTGTTTTTAAAAAAAATGAATAATTTGTGTAATTTGAATTTGATGAAATTTCTTTTTCAATTTATGCATTGAAACAATATGAATAATTTAATTATTAAATTTGACATCATAAACACCTTACCAAGATAACCTAATTAATTAATTTAGTAGTTTTTTTTTTTAATTCATGCATTGAAACAATAAATAATTTAATTATTAAATTTAATGCCGTAAAGATTTTACCAAGGTAATCTAATTAATTGATGTAATATTATATTAAAACAACACAATAGATTAAAGAGTAAATTCATTTCCATTTATTATGTATTCATATAAAAATGAACAACAATATTTAACTATTCTACTGTTTACTTTTTCATTTTTTACTGTTTTACTTAGTTTTTTTTTTTTCAAATAAAATTAATTAAAAAAAATAATTCAAAGAATTATATTGAATTAAATTAATATACAAATTAACAAATAGTTAAAATTAATTGTGCTTTTTTAACTATTTTACAATAAAATTTATTTTAACAATTCATTAATTTTCATTAATTTAATTGAATGAAATGTTTAGGTTATGTACAATCACTAAAAGCTAATTAATTATGGAAAAATATATGGGTGAAAAAATTTCAAATACTTAATCATTTCAAAATGCAAATTTTTATTTCCAATAATTTCATTACTATCTCTTAATGAAATTAAAATTTTTCTAACTACTAATTAATTTATTGTGAAATAAAATTTATTAAAGTATAATTATTGATGAGATAAATATTAATTCTAATAAATGCTAATAAATTACAAATTGAACTGCCAATTTTGGTCGCTAGCAATACATTAAAGATTAAATTGTTAATTTTTTTTTTTTTTTTGCTAATATCACTGTCAGAAAGAAAAAAAAAATCAAAGAGAATAATTAAGCCTAATTAAGCTTCAAATTACTATTTTGTTTTTGCCCTTTTTTTTTTGGATTTCGACAGATTAAAATTTAAGATTAATCGTTAATAAAAGTAAAAAAGTATTATAAAAATTAATCTGATAGCCATATAAAATTTTATTGGCAAATTATCGCTTATATATGAGATATCAGAGGTAATCCGCGGTGATATGATGATCATATATTCCCAGAATACCTATCTTTTAGTTAAGTAACATTCCTGAATAAATGAATAAATTCTAGGAATATCTTATCCACGAGGAATGAAAGATAGCTTAAGTAATATGAAGCAATATTCCTGAGATATCTACTTTTGTCCCAGAATACCTATCTTTTAGTTAAGTAACAT